GGGCCTAAAAGGGTTGGGCTTATAAGCCTCGATTTTAAACGGGCTTGTAAAATACTATCCCAACCCTACCCCAATAACGGGTAGGGTCGGGCCGGTCCCATGGGCTAAGCCCTTTTTGACAACTCTAATAGACAGAGTGAATTAAGGAGAATAAGAGAAAATTTAGAAGAGAAACAAATATATATATATATATATATATATATATATATATATATATATATATGAAAAGGATTTTAGAAAGAAAACAAAAAAGGTTGAATAACCTAAATTTTCGCAAAAACAAAATTGAAAAAACTTCAATTCCACAAATCATGAAATTCAACAATTAATTGGACAAGAACAAGATTATATATAAAAGATGATTTTCAGAAGAATTAAGGAGAAGAATTGAAAAACAGGGAGAGAATCAAATATACGTATGAAAAGAATTCTAGAAAGAGAAAAAGGAGACAAAAAAAGAGAAGAACTCTATTTTAAAACGGTTGACAAAATTAAAAAAAAAGAGATAAAATAGGGAAAATAAAATAATAATTTTTTTTCTTTTCAAGAAAAAAAAAGCAGCAATCAAACGTGTGTGTAGAGAAAAATAAGGAGAACAAAAATACATTTTTTAAGATAAAGAAAAATAACTATTGAATGTCAAATAAATAAAACAAAGTGTTTTTCTTGCTAACAATTAAAAATGGGCTAGTTATTGCTAATCTAGTCTATAGGGTGTTATGTTGTGCCATTTTGTCCAAGAGAATCAATAAGTGAATCATAGCCCTAGATCGATTTCATTCATCGATAACATAAAATCTATTCTTCGTCTAGTTGGTTGTTCATTATTTATTTATTTATTATTTTTATTTTAGTTAATTGATAATTGTATCCTTGAATATTATTTTTTTGAAAAAATAATTAGAATTGGTATAATTCAGTAAGTAGTTAAATCAGAAATCCTAGTGAGTAAGATAGCTGGACTCATAATTTTATATCACTTATATGATCACGTGCACTTGAGTGTGCATTTGGACGTAATAAATTTTTTTGATGTCATTGAAGTAAATATATATATATACTGATAATTCTTGTATATAATGTGGAAGAGCTCATTTGAATATAAATTGCCATAACTTTTTTGAGAGCTGATTGTGCACATATCTCAAATATTTGTGTGGAATATTTATTTTATAGGAGATATGTGGTGGTCAAGATTACTGAAATGGTTGTACTAACTTTTATTCCCTATCCTAAGCCTCTATTGTGATTCTTTTATTATTTTGATATGAATAATGACGTGGAGGATGTGGTACTTAATGATTCGATAAAAAGGTTAACGAAATAGACTAGAAAAATGTGGGAAATTCATAGAAAAATTTAGGAGGAATAACTAATCAATCAAGTACTTTTAGTGAAAGTAAACCATCAACAACAAGTGTCCTAGGCAGTTAAGAAATTCAAATCATCAGTAATAGAAATTAAAGCATAAAGGGTGAGGTCTCAATGGGACGGTCCGGTCAGTTATTTTAAAAAAATTATACCATTTCAATTTTTTTGGATAGTTTATATTGAATAACCAAAATTAGATTTTTTAAAACCATTTCAATCATATCGGTTTCTCTTCGATATCGGTACGTTTCATTTAATTTTCATTTTTTTACTTTTAAAATATCATCTCAAATATACTATTATCAAAATATTTCTTTCGCAAATATGTTCTTGAAGAAGCACTTCAAGTCTTCAACAAGAAGACAAGAATGTAAAACATTGTTGCCGTATTGTTTGATATTAAGCATTTAATAAGATTGCTTGCATAAGTTTTATTGTATTGTTTGATAGAGTATCTATTATAGTATCTTTTAATTTTAAATCTAATTAATTAAAGGCTAACTAAAGAGCAAAGACTCAAAGTCGTCCAGTCACCAGAGACCTAGGACCTAGATTATATTTATATTTGAAAAATGTTATAAAATATATTTATATATTAAATTTAAGATATTATTAATATTAAAATATATTTACATGAGGTAATTCGGTTCGGTTCGGAAATTATTCGATTTTTCATAAATTAAAAAGACCATCCAAATTGTTCGAAACGATTATACACTTAAATAAAAATCTACAATTTTATTGAAAAAATGACATAAATCAATTTGGTTGGATCAATTCGATGGATTTTTCATATTCTTTTGAAACCCGTAACAAACCTAATAAAGGGTCACATCATATATATCCAGACATAGGCTAGAACATTATTAAACACATGGGGTGGACTCACCCTATGTCATGGGGTGTCGACCGACACTGTTTCATTAAAAAAAATTACTATAGTATTATATATATATATAAAAAAAAAAGTAGAAATATCTCTACAAATAACATTAATGACACTGCTTGAATAACTAAGTTTCTTGGCTCATTGGTTTGCAGCGTGAATAGAATGGTCATTCGCCTAGGCGCGGCCCGTCTTTTATACGCCAACTGGCTCTAGTTGAGGATCCAATGGGAGGTGATCATGGTCTAGCCTATTTTGCTCACTCAAATCTGTCACATGAGGTTCCCTTTGGAATAGGGAAATTTGGGTCAAAGAAGAAGTTTCTTGACAAGAAGACCCTGGAGGAGTGTAATTTTGGGGCACATGTACCAAGTTAAAAGTGTAATATCCTTATTACTCAGCTGTTGCAGGACTTGCAGTTTACTAGCTCTGTTTCCCTCAAAATAAAAAATGCTCAACTGATGGTGAACCTAAAGAATGCCTAGGATGAGATATCGTGTCGTAATCACGATATAAAATGCTTTTGATTTGAGGCCCATGTGGATTAAAATAGTACATGGTTGCTTAAATTGAGTTCCCTCTCTAAATGTTCTGTTTGTGTATGAGTAGCTAATATCCCCATATTAACTAACAAATTGTTAGCTTGAGTGTATTGGGTAGTGTTTCCCGAGTGACCATGAGTTAATATAGTCACACACATGGAGGCAATACGTACAGATGCCCAACACTGATCCGGGTCTCATTTTGGAAGAGTCGCGAAGCAATACTGGCATGTAAAGCTTCATTTGATTTCTCTTCTTTCTCCTATTGCCAGGAGAGAGCCAGATTTTGAAACCCAAGTGCAAGAGTAATATGTGAGCGCTTTAGCACCACCCTCTTGCTTGAGCCAGATTTTCATAAAAAGGGTGATTGAAAACAGATGGAAGTTAAAAACACTTTCTGCACTAATCCCGCTTCTATATATGGTATAAGTTTTTCTACATTCACAAGGGTATGTAATAATTTGGAAGGTACAAATTTACGCCTCTGAAAGAATAATGTAAAGCTATGAGGTGTCTAAAGCTATAAACCGAAGCTGGAAACAAATGTCTTTCTACAGCATCCTGACAAAACTCATTGCTACAAAATCACAACACTGGCTTAACAGACATCCAGTCCCTTCAACTGTCCTTCTAAGGCAGCAGAATCTTAGAATGAAAACAAAAAACAATCAGTAAAATTAGGAGGAAAGTGCAAGAAAGATCGCAAAAAGAGAAATATTAGATTTCTTTCAATCTTTTCATTAAGGCAAACGAAAGTGACACAGTAAGGCAATCGCTTAGAGAAGCTGATTATCCGTTGCACTTGATCTTCTACCAGGTGAAGTATAGACGTTGTACAGCCAAATATTTAACTACCACATGCCTTTCTTTGTTTTATTGCATCAATCCCAAGACGTTGTACAGCCAAATATTTAACTACCACATGCCTTTCTTTGTTTTATTGCATCAATCCCAAGAAAGTAGAACAAAGAATTTGGAAGCATTTTAATCGAACAATATGCAAAACAATGCTGTTGAAGGCGCATTTGAGGTAGGTTTAGACCCTAAAACTAGGTGTTGTATGTTGGGCACTTCATTTAGTTTAGAAAACACTTTAGTGGGGGTACCAAGGCTTATGACATGCACCACAGCATTCATGCGCTCTATTTTAAAGAGGACAGCACTAAACACGAACTCTAGATGGTAAAGCAAAGCATTAACAGAAAATTAATGTTATCGAAGAACAAATTTAAGAGATTAGGAATATAAAATTAAAATTGTAGTATAAGAACATATATATACTTCTTAATTCTTTTGACAATATAATTATTGTGTTTGTTTTTCCTTGCAGTATAATATATGTATATATTTGTGCCTTTGCAGAAAATCTTTAACTGCATTTTGTGCTGAAAACGCCAATATAAGTTCGACACTTATTTCATCTTTGAAAATTTTATAAGGGAGGTCCCTCAGGCTAATTAAAATAATAATGTTTCACAGACAAAGTCAGGAAGTAAAATGAGACATGAAGAGCCCTATCACATAGACATTTTAAGAACTTTCTCCAGGAAAAAATCACATTGCAATAGGAGTGTATGCACAATTCAACTCTCACCTTAAGGACGGATTACATACAACTGGAACCATCTGTCTTGGCTGAACCTAATGATGTGGTGGTGTAAGAACTGCAAAAGCATCAAAGCAGAAAAGTATGAGAGACAGAAAGTGAAAAATGGCAACATAAATAAGCAAAAAATATACACCAAACAATTATGTTAAGAGAAACGTGAAAACAAGATGAAGAAGAATCACAGGCAACAGACCTAATTTGTGCAAAGATAACAGGAAGCAGACTAAGGTGAGCCACAACACGATGAAAATCTTAACCACTTGTAGCAACATTTCAAGCTCAAATGACACAAGGATATCAAGAGTAGAGATGACTATTTGAGTCAGATACCCAAGAAAGCTTGATGAGAAAAACAATTGTATAAAGCTTCCCACACGGAAAAACAAACACAAAACACTACATTTGTCTTACTCTTACACAGATGCGCTATATTGTTTTCTCCCCTCCCTGAAGACAGGTGGGTATTGAGATGATTGTTTAAAATGTTTCAATCTAGGGTCAATTGTTTTACTATTTTGCAGGCGTAATGACAGAAGATGAAAATAAAAGAACCATAAAAAGAAAAGAGACGAATTTGGAATCTATGAAAGTGAAATTTAGCAACTAAAGAAATTCAATTAATCACCAGCAACAAAACTAGGATTTCACACCAACCCAACCAATTGCTTTTAGGCTGACGGTTTTCCTTCAGTATTCGTACCATACTCTTCATCACCGTCATTTCCATTAACGAGTACTGCACCATCAGTAGAGTCGGCATCCACCACAACAGCCTCTTCTTGGCCCTCTTGTTGAAGGTCATCTTCACCCCGTTCTTCTTGGCCCTCCTGTTGAAAGTCATCTTCACCCCGTTCTAGCACCTCATCACCATTCAGTTCTGCAGCCTGAACCAGTTAAACCAAGGGAAACAATCACTAACTGATTACTTTTTATCAAAGATAGGTTTAATAAAAAATAATCAAACTATTAACTTTTTTATAAAAAGGGGAACAATTATCAACTTCACGTAAACCTAGCTAAGTAAAAGCAGATGGCTTTTCTTTTACTTCTTATTTAAGAAAATGATCACATGTAAAGAAAACAAACTTTTTTAAAGGAAAAAAAAAAACAATTCTCATAAGCAAAAAAATTAGAAACATGTCCATCTTATACCTCATGATCCAACTCTCCATTTTCATGTGGTTCTTCATCCATTCTCAAGTTGCTGAAAGCTTCTACAAGGTTAGTAGTTGGTCTACCAGCATAATTTCCATAATCTGCCGCTGGTGGATAGACACCCCTACATAAAATAAGGAAAGCAACCAAATTGGTACCAAATTTTCCCAGTGAAACTGTCTGTTAATACAGAAGTTAATCTTTCAACAGACCATACATATTGGAATTAGAACACATCCCTTTTGAGTTCATACTCCAAGCAAGAAAGAAACGAGCAACAAATTGAGCAGCCAGTGTGAAACACTAGGGCAAAAACGAGGAACTTCCATAAACCAAAGCAGGTTCAACCAAAGCATTATTATTTTGAAAATGACACTGGCAGGTAGAGAAGAGAACATAACAAGATGCATGGAAAAAAGAAAGAGATGTGTACTGATTACCTTTCCTCCGCAACTCTAGCTTCAACAGCGTGTGCAATTTGCCAGTGCTCAAACAGGTTAGGATATTCTTCAGGGTCAGCCAAAGCTTCTGCTGCTTTCTGGTTAACCTGCATGCATAATTAATGCAAAACAAGGTCAAAGATCTTGTGCTTATGGCCGTGGAGAACAATTGGCAGTCTCAAACAGCATGAAGTCTGAACACTAAACATGGAATTTTCATTAACAATCAACCTTTACCAATTTCAGACTTAAGGTCAAATCCTTCGGTTAAAACAATCTGCATCTGGGAGGGAGTGTACATTCAGGCCATTGGCCTTTCCAAAACTTAAGAAGAAAAATGCTTGTGGCACACATCATATCAAATAGATACCACAGGAGTGAAAGAAAAAAAACAGTACAATGTCTGGATTTGTTCGACAACTCGCTACCACAGGTGTAAAAGAGCCCCATTAAAAAGTACAGAGGTTTGAAGTTTCTTTGCACCATTTGCTTAATGGTCAAGAAGCTTCATACCCCCTACATTAAAGTTGAAAATCCAGGTGACTGCTAACCTACAGAATAAGCCAGCTCTGGAAAAAAACTTTCCACAGTGCAGAAAGTACACAGAAAAGCAAACACAAAAAGGAAGATCACTGACCTTACTGAGGTCCTTTCTCCAAATTGAAACTATTTCAGGAACCTTACTAGGCAGATAAGATCTTGCCATAAATGCAGCCTCAGGTATCCGATTGCTGCAAACATAATACCACATGGAAATCATTACAATATGAAAAATATACATATATGCAGGATTATGAGAAAAGGTACCTGTCAACCAACAGCTGAATGCACTCCTCCACTTTACCCAACATGAACATGCAAAGGAATGCAACATTGTTTTTCCCGTGCTCTTTGGCAAAAGAAGCTAGTAGAGTTATTCCTTCAGCATCTCCAAGAGAAGAATAGAGTAGCAACAAACCACTCAAGTCATTTGCATGCTTCAAACACTCCTCTACCATCTCAAGCTGCAAAACATAGTAAAACAGCAGCAGTTATGAAAACATGATGAGAAGTTAATACGCACATGCATTTTGCAAAAGAAACATTACTAGGATGCTGCAGAAATAAACTCCAAAGCACCTTCTGCTACTTCACAACAAGAAGAACAATAGCATAACTCCATTGTACGCTAGTTAGGTTGGCTATATGAGTTCTCTAAATCCATTTCACTCCACCCCGACCTTGTTTAATTCAAATTCTCAGGATTCTCCAACATTTCTTTTGACATGTAAAAGATATAAACAGACAAACACTAATTGACTACAAACAGAAACAGAGGGAAAAACTTTAATAGATGACAGGACAACAGAGTATCAACTATTATCCTATACAGAGTGATATACTTGACTCTGCTACTTCCATCAACCAAGAGAAAGAGAAGTGTTAATCGGGTAGCAACCACATCATCGTGAAGCATATTGTGTATAAATTTCTTCGGCAACAGAAAAAGCAAGTGGCAGCTGCGGAATCTGCTATTGGGTTAGCTATTTTCTGAATCAAAGGTTTTCCGCAGAGAAATTTTTGGATACTAAAGTAGTTCACTTGAATGTAAGGAAGAAAGCTTAGCACTTAACTTCTACATGTTTTCTCTTTAAAAATTCAGCACATAATTACTTCACCAAAAAAATTGGATCAAGGGGCAATAAGTAACAGTTACCCTTCCACTTGACATGGCTAGGTCACCCAACTGCTTCCATTTGGACTCACTCTGTGCCACTACGGCAACATCCTGCATACATAGAAAGAGCCACAACTTTTAACAACATACAGTTTTTTTTCACACTAATAATTCTTAAAAAAAAAAAAAAAAGAGAGGTGCTGAGGAAAACCACATTTCACTAGTTATTAGCCCTCACCTTTGCGATCTCTAATTTACCTAGCTGTATAGCTAGTTCAAATCTGTAGTCAGGGTCTGTAGCAACTTCTAATGCTTCCTCTATCATTCCGCGTGATTCCAAGAAATGAGCAACGCTGGTAGGAAAAATCATTCAATAAAACATCAGGTAACTATATAGTAGACAAAAATCAAGACTTACAAACTAGTTGTATTCGACACAACTTATTATAGGAACCAGTACAGCACAAGCTTTATTCATTTTTACAACATAAAATTACAGCATCGGCATCTCTAATTTTAAAAATGCAGTTGATCACATTTTACAACCATGTTGAAAGACTTAAACAGGTAAAATACCTGTTGTGATGCTCCTTAGGAATTGATGGTAAGACCTCATTTGCTCTGTCCCAGTCACCACGCATCACAAGTGTCTTGTACTCAATCAAGCCAAGGAGTAAAGTATATCCCACAACACTACAGGAAAGGAGATGAGTTTATGTATCTATTAAAACAATTTTTGGTTTCCCTTGTTAAAAGCTCACACAAGCTTACTCACTTAAACTCCTTGTCAATCAGGAAAACCCTGCTCTGATTAGCAAGATATCCCAGTAGGTACATGGGCCGATCAAGGTGAAACATTGTGGTCACCTAAAATTAACAAAAAGTATGTCCCTAACTCAGCATGAGAAAAGATGTTTTGCAAATATAATTGCCGAGAGGAGCAGTACAGAGGATCTATCATACCTCACCACCAACACAATAGTTAAGTCTCCAGGAAGAATTATTGTAAATGAAGCAATCCCCAACCCAAATCCCAGTCCTGACCCGTTCATTGATCTCATTAAGAAGTTCAAAAGCTTCTTCAACACCTTGTTCATCTACTGATTTTCCACTATCTAAATGGGCAGAGACCACATCTCGCTGCAGGTTTATCATCAAACAGCAGGAGGATTGTTAATACAATAATGCATGGAAGAAAAAACTTTAACCCGTGAACTTTAAAATTAGTGAAAGAGAGCTCTTACATTATACTTAAGTATGTAGAACGATGTATCACTTGCAATTGCCACCAGATCACCACTGTCGGCCCAGTATAGATTCTGAAGAAGTTGAAGCAAAAGAAAACAGCAGAAAATTAGAACTACCCGCTAAAAGAGTAAAGCGCCACTCTACACTATATTGAGGTAAAGCTTTATATATCTTACTTTGACATTAACATCAATTCTCCGTATCAACCTGCACTCAGCCCAATCATAGAAACAAATGAAATCATTTGAGCACATTGCCAATAAAGTACCCCCATAGATGTGCTCAGCAGAGAAAGTAGGTCGGATGCTCTTCTTCTCCTGAAAGATATTCATCATAATTTACTTTTGGGTCAGAATTTGAAGAAATAAACTAACTACAACTTGTTTGCTTCAGCTTCAAGATAAAAAGAAAGCAATTGCATTTTAAAGTTTATTTAACTTATTGCACGAGGTGAACTAGTAACTTACTTCTCAAGCTTAGATGTAATTCATTAAAAGTAAAGGGTTTAAAACAGAAAGCGCGGAGATGGGCTGGGGGTATTGGATTCGAATATTTGAAGCAATGCATCATAAGACAAATCAAATGACAGCTAATGCAAATCATAATACAATTGCAAAAGGTGTTTGGAAGGACAAATTTGGACCTGGAAACTTTTGCTGAAAATCTTAATCTTTGAAGTACTTTCCCTCACAGCATATTCTCCATCCGAAGACCAAACAAATTCCAGAGCTGAGCCAAACGACCTGTTTCTCCAAGCCAGAGCAGTATATATGATATATTCTCCATCTCCACAAACAACCACAAACCTTCCATTTGGATTATGCTTCAAATTCTGTGAACAGGAAGTGCAAGATTTTCAGTAAATGAACTTCAGTAGTCAATCTTCTAGTGCTAACCCAATTGAAAAAGACAGAAAATGCCAACTACTATATTATATTCATACTCTTTAAACTACTAAACAAGATTTTTTTTATAACTGTGGTGTTCGGGCCAGTTTGTGCACGCCTCGACTAATTCCATGGGGTACCTGCTACCTCACACCACCACAACTATGTCCACCAAGGCTTGGACAGATGGGAAGAAATCAACTAAATGTTTTTGTCTCCATTGGGATTTGAACCTATGACCTCATGGTTCTCAACCACTTCATTGACCACTAAACCATAACTTTGGTTGCATGAAAGCCCAAGAATATTACAATGAATTCTTCAAGTTATTAAAACTGAAAGCAAACGAACTATAAGGAATATAAAAAGAACAACTTTTCGGAACCCTGTCAATAAAGATTAATCACCCATCTTACATACAAAGTTCAAATGGTGCGTATGGTTTCAAATATATGGACAGCTCGTTTAACTAATAGAGTAATAGCAACAGCCTTTCACTGGGGACCGATCTAATTCACTTGTCTTATTTTTTGATAGCCTTAATTCACTTGTTATAAAACAGATTATACAAGATTACACCAATATGCATATGCAGTAATCAAACTCACTTGTGGGTAGAGGTCACAGGATCCCAATTCCTTGACAGCCAAAGGCAGTCTTTCTCCATCAGCAACCTGAAAGATAAAGCAGACACAGAATTCATATAACACTACTGAGGCAGTAAGAACAATCAGGTGGGCAAAAGTAGAGGCAGTGTGATGTCATACCTCATAATCTGCCCCTACACTCTTGATGTTAACAGTCTGAACTTCATTGTGCTTAGCCCAAATAACTTTTCCACTGTTATCCATACTGGCAACAGGTACTTCTCGACCAAGTTTCACCATGATGGTTCCCTCATCATAACCAATTACAACCCTGTACATGTAGCACAATCATCATAACTGCAACTAGAACTAAAGAAATACAAAGAACCCAAAAGAAAATAATAACTTGGTGCCCGAGCCAACTTGCACGCACCTAGACTAATTCCACCGAGTACCTGCTACCTCCCACCAACACAGGTACCGGTTAACTCTGTCCACCAACACTTGGACAGATGGAAGAAATCACCTAGTATTTTTGTATCTATTGGGATTTGAACCTGAGACCTCATGGTTCTCACCCCACTTCATGAACCACTAGGACACACCCTTGGGTGCACAAAGAACACAACTAATATGACAATCTAATTCTTTTTTCTACAATTTTTCCTTAGTCGCAGATATTTTATCAATTTGTTAGGACGCAGCTAATAATGACCTTTCCCTATTTCCTTGTCCAGAAAAACTTTTCTAGCTATGAACAAGCAAACTAATTGAAAAGAAAATTGAAGTTACAAGCAAATGTTCAGACTTCCAAAGAGAACAATACCGCTATAAATTAATTGAAAACACTCACCTCCTTGAACTTCTCATGTAACCAATTGCCCATACTCTTTCAAGACCATAATTCAAAGTGTTCTCAAGTCTACATGAAGTTGCCAACAAACAAAAAGGATTAGTAACTCAAGCACAAACGACTTAAGAGAGAATGTAAGGAGTCAGAATAACAAGAATGCATACAAAACCAATTGACTCATCATTTCGAGAACACAGTCACCAAAAGAAGAAATACCCTGTTTTAAGTGATAGAAAGTTCTTATTTTGATAATTGTGGCTTCTGGGCCAGCTTTCACACACCTCGACTACTTACACAAGATATTTGTCACCTCCCACTAGCAACATATACCAGGTAAAATTTTGTCCACCAAATCTAGGACAAATGGGAAGAATCACCTATTTTATTTTATTGTATTTTGTCTCTACTGGAATTTGAACCTGAGACCTCATGTTCTAAACACACTTCTTTGACCGCTAGGCCACACCCTTGGGTTCAAGTTATAGAAATTTTTCACTCAAATAGAAGTTCAGCTTCTTAGAGAAATTGTGGAATGTAACAACTTTTAAGGTTAACCAATCATTTTCGCCCCCAAAAAACTGAAAGTGAAAAAGTAGCATCACAAAATTGGCACTATGTTAATTTTACCACAAGATGCTAAGCTTCAGTCTGTGAATAGGAAAACGGGAAACCTACTTCAGCTATAGCGTACAACAGAAAAGGGGACTTCGAAATCGTTTCAATGCACCAACTGATTTTGCTCAAAAGTATCTCATAAAGCAGGTCCAGCTATGGTACAAAGATGTGTAAATCCAACACCATATGATAGATTATGTTTGTATGACACAAAAAGTCTGGGGAAGGATATCCATTAATCTCTCAGTCCAAAGTCCAAACCCCACAACAAAAAGAAGTTCCTCCAGGTAACAAGGACATGAAAATACCATTGAAGTCTGGAAGAGAAAGCACGATTATGATGACCATGCCCCGAAGAGAGAATCCATATGGACCAATTACACTCAAAGTCCTTTTCAATATATGAATACAAGTGAGAACCAAGAAATGAAATAAAAGAGTGAAAGTAAAAAAGAAAGGATGATGAGAAACGAGAAGTTTCTGTACCATCTCAGGCTGCTGTTTGATTCACCCCAGACTTTGTTTTAAGGAATTGAAAAGACAAAAAGGCTGTGTTAAAAGCTGAAAAGGGGTCACATGTAACTCTTGTATTACTAATTTGGTGCAAATAGTTCTTTATAGGAAAATGATAATAATTCTATTAAAGAAATGGGGGTGCTGAGATAGGCGTCCAATTTGGACAAAGGGAATGGTAAATAGACACTTCATGCAGCTTGAAAACTGTAACAAGATTTCAGTGGTGAAGGCACAGCTCTTAACAGATAAAGTATGACTTATCACTTACTTTATATTGGTCGTCAAATGTAAATCAATATGAAAATTCACATAGCCTTCTACTTACCTGGTGCAACTGATTTAAACAACTCTAAACAATAATAGAAAAGGATTTTCCTCTTTAAAAAATGGTTAAAATATGTACATATACATTTTTCTCAAAAAAAAATATGTACATATACATGTAGAGCAATCAGGGGTCATTTGGTAGAGAACATTAGAAAAAATATTGCATTAGTAAAGCAAGGGATTTTAGTGCATGCATTAGCATGATTAAAGATACAATTACCCATCAAAATATTTTCCACATCCTTTACACCGAATTTGTGGAGGGTATTTTTGTAAACAAGTATTTTTTTTAGAAATTATGCAATGTATGTCACTTTTAAGACACCAAACCAAATGTTGCATAAGAAATAATCTCAACATAACTAACACAAGCATAACTAATATCAGCATTGCAAGTGTCAGCAAAACTAATACACCAAATTCAACACTATTCTTATACACCCTACCAAATGACCCCTTAGTGTCTTCTCGAAGGTAACGGAAACCAACAAGTATAAGACAACTTCCTAGAAACAGTCATTTTTCAAAAATAAGCAAACCCAATCTTTTGTCATTGATACAAAAATTTTGAGCTAAGCTGAGATAATTAGGTAATCCGGCCATTACCTATAAGTGGTTGAGTGCCATATACGAACAGTACCATCTTCAGAACCTGTAATTATAATCGGAAGCTCGGGATGAAAACATACAGCAGAGACATTGTGAGTGTGGCCTTCAAGAGTCTGAACACAACTTTTTGTCTGATAGTCCCACACCTGTTTCATGGATAACAATACATAAATAATTCAAATCCTAAATAATAAGAATGGAACATAGGAACATAGGAACAAATAAAGACTGGCAAACCTTAGCAGTGTGATCATCAGAACCAGTAATTAGATAAGGTTTATCACCCCCGGTGAAATAGTCTACACAGTTAACCCCTTTAAGATGAGCATCCAGCGTGAAATTTGGATCAGGAGAGCCAAGGTTCCAAATCTAAAAATGTTACATAGGTGAATGACTTGAATGAATATGTTAACCAATTTCTTGGAGGAAGAACGGAATGAGATGAGGAAGCGAAAAAACACTTACCTTTATAGTCCGATCAAGAGATGCACTAGCAAAAGTATTGGTGTCTTTCGGATTAAAGGTGACTTGCATCACATAATGGGAATGACCTTCAAATATTTGAGTGCATAACCATCCCTTCTCCCAATCCCAGAGCTTTATTAGCATGTCATCAGATGATGACAGCACATATGGTAGAGTAGGATGGACAGCCACACACCTAATATAATCTGTGTGTGCCTCGAATACTTTGACTTTATCCATGGTATTGTAATTGTAAACACGAATAAACATGTCATCGGCACCAGCAACAACCCATTGCTTGCGTGGTATAAACTTCGCTGACCTAACTGCAAAACAATAACATAGGTGTATAAAAATACTGCAAACCTTAAGTAAAGCAAAAGGTTGCTCGGGCAAATCCTGACTCAAAAGAGACCATTTGGATACCACAAACTAACCTGGTAATTCAGTAACTTCGAATGATTTAGCCATTGTCTGCATCAAAATGAATTATCCATCAACATTCTTGTCGACAATGCTATTAAATGCATTTTTCTTTTTCAGTATTCAAAGTGCAGATGCAATGTCTTTTTCATCTTAACTAACCGAAGAAGTTAGATTTGCAAATAAGCAAAGAATAGTAGCATCTGCGATGATTCAAAGAACATGAACACTTCATTTTAAAATTATGAACTCCTGTGAGAGCCATTATTGATTTCAGATACAATACTAAGGAACACTTTTCAAACTAATGTTAATAATCTAACTTGTTGGTCCTCCATTGTGGCAAAAACAAGATGTTACCTGAAGAATGCAAAGCAGGTAAAGGAAGAAAAGGTAACGGCTAGAAAGCCAAAAGGCCGCACAGGTAAAGAATAAATCAAAGTGACTCAAGTTCACTAGTAAACTTATCTTTTCGAAGTAAACAACAAGCATTAAAGCCAAAATCATTTTCACATCTATAAGTAACTCTTCCAGGTTAACCAGATTCCTAATAGTCAACAACTTGCTCGTATCTTGCATCCCAATATTGGCTCCCTCCCCACAAAGTATCTGGGTTTGCCTCTTGGGGGAAAACATAGCTTTACAGCTATTTGGAATGGGGGTTTCAAGTGGATGGGAAAGAAGTGGTCAAATTGGAAGCGACAGAAATACTGTAATTAACCATGTTCTAGATGCTTTCCACACTTACACCACGTCACTCTTTCCTACCCCTGGCTCTATCTTAAAGTGCATGAAAAATTGAGAAGATATTTTCATTGGAATGCAACACAAACAAAATAAATTTGCTTTTGTTAAGTGGAAAAATGTTAATTTGACCAAAATTTTGGTGGTCTTGGAATTATGAATTTGAAACACCATAATGGAAGTCATTAGATGAAATGGCATTGGAAGTTCAAGTGTTCAACAAGGAGGAAAACACATTTCAAAAGAAACTACTTTTTAATAAGATAAGGTAAAGCACTTTGGAGAAATTGTTGATACGAAAATTTACTCTGGATTCTTGGTGTACCAGAGTCTCAAGTTCACCACATGGCACTGTTTTATGGTAACACATTGGACAAATTTTGTAGCAAACTATAGTTTTTACTAGGAAATGATAGAAAATCAGCACACGGGTGTGGCCTAGTGGTCTGGGTGCAAACCTTGTCAACCAAGGATCAGATTCCAGCAGAGACAAAAAACACTAGCTGATTTTTTCCCATCTACCTAAGTCTTGATGGATAGAGTTATTAGGTACCCGTGCTAGTGGTGAAACATAGTTTGTTTATTGTCGCTTCTTCAGGGTTACGCTGATTGGCAAGAAAAAGTATGTCTTAAAACCTTGATGACGACACTAAAACGCTGCCTAAGAAAGGCAAAGTGTTGTTTTGTGCCTCACTCAGGGCTTAAGCGTGCCATTGACATTAGTGACAGGTTGAATAGTCAAAGTGCACGCAAGCTGCCTTGGACACATCGTTAACATGAAAAGAAAATCTAATTTGGGAAGAAAAGTTGGTTGGGATACTACCCTTACAAGAATAGCATTTAATTTCTTTTTATTGAGAAAATCATTCACAACATTTCTACTCTCCACAATGCTGAAATTGTTGATATTATAGTACTCAAGGATGGGACCTTTCTCTTAGAAGAAACATTAATGACAGGAAAATTCGAAGAACATAACTTGAGGCTAACAACATTGTTCTAAACCAACATCAGTGTCATTCCATTAAATGGGGGAGCCAAACAGATGGAGATGATGTTCTCAAAAGCTAACACAGATTGCTGACCATGGAAGAAGACTTGGCACAGCAAAGCCCTTCTAAAGGTTTACTGTTTTTCTTGGTTAGTAGCTAGGGAAATCGGCCTCACTCAAACTAATCCTTAGAGAAGAGGGTGTCAGCTGTGAAGAGAGATGCCCTATAAGCGAAGAACATCAAAAAGATACTAGTCATCTATTTTGCACTGCAAGGTGACTCGCCAACAGTGGTGCATGTTTAAGCCATACTGAGACCAGGCCACACACCACTTGAGAGCTTCTGAAGTTCTGGAACAAAGATGGACTGAATAAGAGAACTCAACAAGTCCGGAATACTATCCCCTAGGCCATTTGGTGAATTTGTGGGCAGTTAGGACCAAAAGGAACCATAGAACTTTTTAAGATTAACCATAAGTTCCTAAACAAAAAAAAAAAAAGATTTAACCATAAGTTTAGCGCAATGTCCATGGTAGCTTTTTGGTGCAACCTAGACTATATATAGGATGTGGATGCTATGTTAGATATAACTGGAAACTTGCACATCTTGTAACTATATTTTGGCACTAACTTAATGTTTTTCTTTCATTAAAAACTCTTTATTGAGCATCAAAAAAGTTTGCATATCATCTTTTTTTTTGATAAATAAGTTTGCAGATCGTCTTTCTATACTTCCATCCAATCCTCCCAACCTAAGTCTGCTATGTAAACATATTAACACATTGAAGAATCAACACACAACCAACACAAAAAGTCTAGTGGTCACGTTCCATGACGTGTTCATTTAATCGTGGCTTGAATTAAGCTACCATCAGACCAGCTATTGTAGGTCTCCACATTTGTATATGAAAATTTGGTCCAAGGCCATATAAGATAAACCCTCTAGTCATATCGCGTTACACGCATTCTATTTTGGAATGTCCTATCTCTATGGCATTCTATGAGAATGTCACACATGTCTCTCAGAAGATTCAAGAATTCAAACTTACTAGAAAACAACACAATTTTCAGTACCTGGGTCTGGTAGTTCCAGATGCATACAGTCCCTGAATACAAACTTGCCAATATCCTGCAAGAAGGAAGAAAAAGAATGAGCTGCGGAGAGCTAAAATTAATGATAAAATAAACAGCTCGTCTTAATCAAGCAAACTCAATATCTATGCTTGCTTTCTAGTTTTAAAATGTTATATATTGGAATGACTGGGCCCTATTAGAGAGAAATGGATATAGAGAATTCATGTAGCTGATGCCAAATAGTCGTGAGTTGAGGTAGTTGATTGAATTGTTTATTGGAGGGATACGTTTCTAGGAAAAGAAAAAAATTTAACTTTTGTTTATATTTTGGAGTGGGAGATAAAGTGGGGGTGAGCTTAGTGCATCAGAAAACAAATTGATATAATTTCATAAAATGGAAGTTCAATTACCATGGCTCGGAAGGATGTAGATCCACTGACTTTACCCTTTCCGATCTTTGAGCAAGTTTTCTCTGATCCAACAACAACAGTCAGCATAATGTAAGTACATACCAACAAAAAAAAAAAAATACCACATACAAAACAACCAGTATTATTCGAATTTGAACAATGCTACATACCTTAATCTCCAACCTCAGAGGCTGTCATTTCGAGTTCCAGATTGGGCAATAGCACAATGCAGCAAGTGAAATTAAGTTAGTAATCACAACATACCAGATCTCAAACAAACTAAAAACCCTAAACGAGTCATGAATCTTCATAACAATTGGTGCAAACTAATAATTTAAAAATACTCGAACAATATGCAAAAATTCGAGCGGAAGACATAACCGGATCGGATTGAATCAGATCCGAGAACGCAAAAGTCATTACAAACTGCTTGAAACTAGAAAAACTCACCATTTTCGTAAACGGAACTTTGTGGATGAATTGAGTGAATCAGAAATTCGTGAATGAAGAAGCCCTAGAGATCAGAGTGAGTGAGGGGAAATTCCAGTTAACGGCGAAGAGATCTCTTCCAACTTGAAATGGAGATCGAAAGCAAGGTAGAAAAATCAGTAGATGTGTTTTGCTCATCTAACAGCGGAACCTCTGTGTAATAAAATGGCAAAATGAGAGATGGTATGAAGATGATACTATTACTCCACAATCCCAACACCAAATGTTCAACCTTTATATTTTTTACTTTTATTTACTCTTGACAAATAAATATTTCACATTTGACAATTTAAATTATAATTTACTAGTAATATTTTATTATATATATATGCATATTTTTATACTAATATACTTGAGACTTTGAAATATATGAATTAATTTTTTGATTATGAATCTTTCTTTTCGAAATTATATGGAAAATTCTAATATTTAGGGACCATTTAATTGGTGAGATAATTGAGTTAGAATTTCAAAATATAAATTATTTAATTATTTATCTAATGCTTCAAATATATATATATATATATATATATATATATATATATATATATATATATAAAAATAGGATTACAAATTTATGGACTCTTTATATTATAAGGTGAAATGACTTGTGAGGCGTTTATATTAGACTCACATTGTAAATTGGATCCTTCAACTTCACGAAGTTTCAACTAGACATTTGAACTCGTTTAAAGTAAGAATTTTAAGCTTCTTTAACGGTTGATCGAACTTATATGGCATTTATTTTTCTCAATAGGACTGAGTCTGTGACAACACTCTCTTAAAAGCGACTGTGAGTATGTGTATGAAAATTAACTTAAAATCAGAATAAGATCTAAAAAATAATTGAATGAGAAAATATTTTAATAATGGTAAAACACTAGATTTATACCTGAAAAATGGTAGTCTACACCTTGAAATCTCAGATCTGGCCGTGTATACACTTTTCTGGCGTTGCTCCGACATTTTCGTCATTGAAGCAACATCTTAGGATCATTATTGTCTTCATTTCCTCTAACATAGACTCGATCTATTCGAATCTATAAACACTAGATTTATACCTGGAAAATGATGGTCTACACTAGGGGTGGGCATAAATATCGAAAAATCGAACCGAATCGAAAAAAATCGGTTCTTCGGTGTCGGGTTTTTTTCGGAACTTCGATTCTTCGGTTTGGAGTTCGGTGTAAGGATCCCGAAACTACGGTGCATCGAAGAACCGAAGTTTTATTAAATAAATTTAAAAGTATTTATTATATTACTTAATTTTTAACTTTACTTGGCCCATTTCAATTTTTATATTTAGATCCTAAACTTAAATAGCAAAAATCTAAATAACAAAATAGTAAACCCTAAAGACCTAAAGTCTAAACTAAACAAAACTCAATTTAATTCAAGTTTGAGCAGCAACTTGGTGTTTCTACTTTCTACTTTATGATTTTATCATTTTATGTTGTTACTTTGAAGTGAGAACAACAAATTGATGTTCTTACCTTTTATTGTTAGACGGTTAGTTGTTACTTTGAAGTTTGAAATGTGAAGTGAATAACAATTGTTACTTTATCATATTCTCTCTTTATTTTTGTTGACATCGAAAAACCGATTTAAAAACACCGAACTAAACCGAACCGAAGTAGAAAAAACCGAACCGAACCGATCTAGTTTGGTTTGAAATATGGTGCACACTTTTCTAAAACCGAATACCGAAGAACCGAACCGAAATTTGATTAAACCGACCAAAGAACCGAACGCCCATCCCTAGTCTACACCTTGAAATCTCAAATCTGATTGTGTATACATCTGGCATTGCTCTGATATTTTCGTCATTGAAGCAACGTCTTATGATCATTATTGTCTTCATTTCCTACAACATAGACCCGATCTATTCGAATCTTTAAACACTAGATTTATACTTGAAAATGGTAGTCTACACCTTGAAATCTTAGATCTGACTATGTATACACCTTTCTGGCATTGCTCCACCATTTTCATCATTGAAGCAATGTCTTAGGATCATTATTTTCTTCATCTCCTCCAACATAGACTCAATCTATTTGAATCTATATTTTCGGCACTCATTAAAATCAGTCAATTTTTTTTATGGTCACACGTATATATTTATGTGCATGTGTGAGTTATTGTTGTAATTAGGCATTGTTACATGCCGGAAATTGCAACTCCGATGAACCTTACCCTTTCGTGTTCCACTTTTCGGTGAGCTTCATTTCTTAGACGATTTCATATTTTGTATTTTTATATATTTTGATTTGTTTGTTCTAATGCATCATAAATAGTGGTGGAGCTCTTTGGTGAGTTATAATGGAAAAGATGGCTATTAATTTTTACAAAATATCATTTCTAGCCACATTAAAAATTTTCATATAAAATTCAAACGTTAAAAAAGAAATAAAGAATAAAAAAAAAAAGTTAGTAGATGAATATAAAAATGACATGGTCAATAATATTGATATGATATGGCATTAATTTTTCTGACGTGGATATGATGTATCACTCGTGTCAAAGCAAGTGAACATGCATTGACTAAGTGGATTAAAATTCTTATTTTGAACTGTCACGATTCAATCCATCGGGTCGTGTGGCACATACTCTAACACCTAGATAGGAGAACTCTTACCCCTAACTGGACATTAAATGCGGAAGTGAATAAAAATGAAAGTTAACACCCTATTTAAATGTTAAAAATGCTCAACCTTGATAAAAATAAAATGTTTTTGTCAAGAAATACGCAAACTCTTTCCAAGGAACTAGTCTAAATAGGCACAAGAGTTTCTAAGAGAATACAAGATTTATATTAAATAGACACAGTTTCCACCATGAAGGAAGAAGAGTAGAAATTGTCGGAGATCATCTCCATCTAACAAACATCATTGACCCTACAATCAAACCATACCAAGTGGTCTAACAACCGTAGTATCAATACAAACAACACGTACTGGAAGACATCATCGATCAACCCGACCATGTAATATCAAATTAATTGTTCAAAATGAAACATGTAATATGACAATCACTAGATCCAAACTTTAGCCACACACTTTTAGTATCCCCAATCTAACCATCATGACCCATAACTCTTAATTTCATCCTTCCTACCTTATTTTCATTGCCAATCGTACCATATAGGTCACTTCACACTCATATTAGATCATAACTTAACCATCTATCAAATAGAGATTTCTCGCACCACTTATTTTATCAAACCCGGAGTCCCTTCACTGACCCTGTTAACCAGTCGGCCAGCCTCCTACTAAATCACCTTGACTCACTCCCCCCTATTTGATATATTCCAAACCCCTTTAACAATGATAAATCGTCCCAACAAATAAGTTATGCAACAGACCCCCAATTATCAGCTTGACCTAATGACTACAACTTAGTAAAATAGATAACATATATATATAACCTCCACCAGAATTCTAACCCTGACTCCCTATACTTACCCAGACTTATGTTTACATGAATACGTTTCACAATGTTACGGCCAACTATAGCTAATCCATCATACCTTTCAAGCAACTCAAGCCCCTAAGGATCATTAAGACACCTATTACAATGTTTTAACATACAATTTCGATCTACACAAGAATCATCCCATTATTTAGACACAAGTTTCAGCCACTCAAAGACTAACATATAACAATCACATTATGAAGAAATAAACTTGATTCGTTTATGAAATCAACATACGAGAGAACAATCAAACACGTACAAGGCGTGGTACCTGAGTCAGTCATATAGTAACATATATTAGGTAACGTACTCGAGCCAACTAATAATAACGTGTACCAGACATGATACCCAAGTCAACCAATAGTAACTTGTACCATGTGTGGTACCCCAGTCAATTAATAATACTACATGTACCAATTGTAGTACTTGAACGAATCAATAAAATGTATCAGAAACGTATCTGAGTCAATCAAGAGATAACATGTATCAGGCTTAGTACCCGATCCAACTAAGGGATACACAAACCGTCACAATCACAATCACACTTGTAAATTAAATACAAGTAAACAAACACCCTCACTACATAAGATTATCAACAATCCATTAGTTTACATTCGATCCTTATGGTTTCCCAACATGCATATCACATGTTTCATTATAGAGATAACTAACATGCATACAACTTAACTTGGGACACAATAATCATCACCAACCTTCGGACAATTTTTGGTTTGGAACCCAATTTTCCACAACTCACTTTCCCAGAATAACACCAAGCAATCATCACAAGGTTAACATTGATAATAAAGTTTATCATTAATCTAAGACATAAGTAACTTCATATTCGACTATTCTGATCCGTGCCTAATGACCTATGCATGCAATCTCCAATAATATACAAGATATGATATAAGTAAAGACAAATCTAACTACTCAATGAATAACCTAGCCTACTTGAACGCCAAACAACTATTGAAAAACTCTTAACACGATTTTTTGACTTCGTGGGACAAATTATGATGAACGTAGATAAAAAATTGATGGATTTGATCTACCTTGCACTAGAATTTCTCCTCTCCCTTGTCCCCAAGCTTGGACCAGCTTTTGAAAGGTTTTAGGCATAGTCCTCGTATGTTTTACTATTGAAAAGAAAGAGGAAAATTAAAAGAATTTACATTTCCTTGTTTCTTCCCCGTTGATTCCACTATAGCGTCTGACATGCGCCATAGCAGGAATTCCTGCTATGAATAACGTCATCCCAGATCAAATTTCAAATCCTAAATTTCGTTGTGTCACTCCAATTTAAAATGATAACGTATTCTTAAAAAAAATTGGGACTCATCACGAGATTCCTATTGAAAAACGACATATTAGGTCGTTACATGAACGAGTTCAAGTGTCTAGTTGAAACTTCGTGAAGTAGAATGATCTAGTTTACAATGTTAGTCAAGTATAAAGGCCACTCAGGTCATTCCACCATGTGATAATTATTATAATATTATTTTTATATTATATTTTATGTAGAATAAAAATCTCAATATTTCTTATTTCAAGATAAATCAATAAAATTATAAATTTTCCCTAGTTCGGGATCCCCCTTAAATCTTTTATTAAAGACATGATTAAACTAGAAATAAATAATTGTTTCAGTT